TCTAATAATCTTTCTGTTGGCTTCACAAGCCAGCTTGATTCTCTATGTACAGTAAGCTGTGAATGCTTTGCATAAAACGTTTTTGCAAACCAATTATTATTTTCACCTGACTAATAAGTTTGACTTTTTTGTTGACATTCTGAGTATCTAGGCATATTCAATAAAAAATTATAGTCGTGACAAACCGAGTTTCTCCTATCTTTGAGTGTTCTTTATTCTCATAATTCTCAAGAGTTAAACTATGGTTGTAAGCACATGTTTGATAATTCATTGTTCTAAATTCATATTGTAAATAACTGTTATTTAACTATCGGAGACTCATAAAATCTACTAGGTAAACCATAACACATTATAGTCGGTATATTTTAATTTTGATGATATTACTTCTTATCTTGTTATGCCGTTAAACGTTCAAATTTTCATTTCACAGCAGATCAATTCACTAATATATTCTATTGTTCTTGTTGATTTGTCATGCATGTTTTGACATTGTACCAATTATTTATTTAGAGTCCATGTGTGAGATTGTAAATTATTGTGTTTGATTTGGAACAGGTGTTTAAGCACTCTGTCAATTTACTGTTCCAATTTCTAATTGTAACAGTACAATAAAAACCCTCATTTCAGTACACCACCAAAACAGGTACTGTTTTCTTGTAGGTTATATTGATTTTGTAGTGATGTGGTGGTGGGATTCAATGGAACAATTAGAAATGTGCAGTGATTTGATGGCTTTGAGTAGTCAATCGGACAAAATGAAAAGCAACACAAGGACTGAAATTTTACAATATACAGTTTATTAACAGAACAATAAAACATGGACAGAAAACCAGCACTGCCCCCAGTCTGGCCACCATTAACCAAGCAGTTTCTTGCTTTTGTGTAATCCTGGATTCCATATTGTAGAATGGAACTCCTAATGTACTATTTTTATCTGTTTTTGCTGAAACAACCTGCAAGTGTGGGAAATATACAGATGAAGAAGAATTTTAATTTGAGAACATCATATCATATTCTCAATGGTTTCAAGGATAACCTGTTTAATTAATTACTAGGAAGTAAATATTATTTTCAAACTGGTAAGTTGAGTAACGTTTTTTTTTAATCCATCCATTGTCTCAAACAGCTTTATCCAGTACAGGGTCACAGGAAACACCAGAGCCTAACCTGGCAAGCAGTAGGCACAAATTAAATTAAGGAGAGCAAAAAAGCCCCAATGCGAAGCAGCAAATAGGGGGTTAGCCTGGGCTCAGGAGGTTATACGATGTTGTGTAGAAACCTATGCCCTCAGGCCACGGAGGAGACGACCTGGTGTTAGGCGAGTCTCAAGACATCCAAGCCATCAATGCTGAGCGAGGAGGAAAAGTAGACCCAGAAATATATAGCCCCAACTAAGACAAACCAGATGGACAAGCAAAGCACAGGGAAACTAGGGACAGGACAGAGTAGGAGTGTGAGGGCATGACAGTTACAAAAGTTTCAAAGTTGCTTCTTTTGGATTACCAATAAAAAAGGGTCTCTTGAGGATAGTGTAACTATTAAGCAAGGTGATCCTAAGCTGTCTATAATGAATTTTGGCTAGCTAACGGCTAAATAATGAACAATGAAATGGCTACAAATGAAAACACTGAAAATGACAATGACAATGAAAACACAACAGTCCAAGTTTTACATCAGCAAATTTGCACATACATACACTGTTCACTTCCTTCTAAATATGTCTTCTAATTTTGTTGAATTAAATTACAAATGATGACTACACATGTTGTATAAATGAATCATGTGGATTTTGTGTAAAAAAATAATTCAAGTTTGACATCATCAGCTCATTTGCACATACTGTACATATAAAACTATATATGTGTCACGCCCAGTACACCTAGAGGGCGTTCTACTTCTTTCCTGTTCCTGTTCCCTGTGATTATTCATGTCTTTCTGTTGTGTCTTGTTGTATAGCTTATTTACTTCCTGTGTCTGCTCTGCTCCTTGCTCAGCATTGAGGTTTGGATGTCCTGAGACCTGCCTGGCACCAGGTCGCTCCTGTCCTTGGGCTGCGGGGATAGGTTTCTATATGGCTTCTATATTTCCTGAACAGCTGAGCCTGGGCTAACCCCCGTCTCACCTACGCATAGGGTCTTATCACTCTCCTGCAAAACCACGGTTTGTCTTTTCCGACATCCGTGACAGTGTTCCGGGCTCCCATGTCCCCTGGTCTCCCTGGCTCTTGGCTCCCATGCACTCTGATCTGGGCTTCCATGCCCTTATGTATGGTTTGTTCCCCTGTTCCGTCAGGGTTTATTTCTGCTTTGTGTAATTTTTTTTTACATGTTTTGTCTGTCCCAGGCTCCCACACCCGCCAGTCTCTCTATCCTGGGCTCCCATGTCCTCTAGTCTGAGCTTCCATGCACTTATGTGTTGTTTGTTCCCCTGTTCCGTCAGGGTTTATTTTCGTTATTCGGGATTTTTTTTTGCTTGTTTGATCTGGTTTTTTGTCTTGCTCCTCCGGAGCCCAGCCTGGCCCCCCCTTCCTCTACTCAATATTTTTTTTTTTACCCCAGAGAAGGGGGGAGCATTCAGCCGTGGACTCCTGGAGGTTTCCTTTCAGTTAAATGAGGTTTTTCCTCCCCCCAGTGCTGTGCAGCTATTTTTTGGGCATCAGGAGCCGCCCTTGAAGGCGCCCTGTTATGCCCAGTACACCTAGAGGGCGCTCTACTTCTGTCCTGTTCCTAGTTCCCTGTGATTATTCATGTCTTTCTGGTGTGTATGGCTTATTTACTTCCTGTGTCTGCTCTGCTCCTCACTCAGCATTGAGGTTTGGATGTCCTGAGACCCACCTAGCACCAGGTCGCTCCTGTCCATGGCCTGAGGGCATGGGTTTCTACATGGCATTTCCTGAACAGCTGAGCCCGGGCTAACCCCGCCTTGCCGCTACGCATAGGGTCTTTTCGATCTCCTGCCATTCCATGGTTCGTCCTTTCCCATATCCGTGACAATATGATGACTACACATGACAACAGTCACACAGTCTATACTTCCACTTCCTTCTCCTTCCAGTGAGACTGCAAATGTGAAACAAAACAGAGGATTTTGTTATTAAGTGTGAAAGGATTACCTCAAATAGCCCTATCTATATCCCTAAGGATCCTAAATACTTTAGTCAAATCATGTCTCAATATTCTTGGTTCTTTGTTCAGTTAACCTGCCCATAAATTAATTAAAAAGAAATTCAAAAGACTAGTACTTCCTGATCTCATTTGCAGTCTTTCTAAGGCTGTATTACCCTTGTATTATGCTCATGCAATCATAGTTCTGCAGAGCCAGTGTGTCTACAGATTTTCATTTCAACAGCTCTCCTTGGTACTGTATATCTCTTCCAAGTATCAATCCTTAGCAGGCCTAGTTTTTTTACCATTTGAGTAAGTACAGGAGGCCATTGGTTGACACAGGTTGATAGCAGGTTCTGATGCCCCTGAAGCTGTGATGAAAGGTGAGGATGTGATATGCATTTATTTCTTTTTGTTAATAAGGTTTGAACTCACTTTGATGCCATTTGTAGTTCTGTAGAGTCTTTTACCTTTTTTTTAAATATATGTGGACAGACTTACAGTACTATACACAATGCAGAACATAACAGCCAGTGTTAACATAAAAAATAACATACTGTACTCTATGGGTTCTATGGGTTGAAATCACAACAAACCAAACTTGGTCCTAGCTATGCCAGATCCACCTATAAGCCCATACTCAACTTCTGAAGCAATAGGATTCTGCCTTGAGGTCTACTTAATCATATAAAACATTCTCATGAAGACTACTTTAATGTCCTCACTAGGAATATTCAGTCACTGTTAAATATTAATGGTCTAGGAGGGCTAACTTAACAATGGATTTTTTTGTTCATTTTCTAACTTCAGGTTCTTCCAATTCAGGGTCACAGGGGAGCTGAAGCTTTTCCCAGCAAGCAAAAGGATAAGGCAGGGTACACCCTTGATGGGACGTCAGTCCATCACAGGACAGACACACAGACACAACCACGCACACACTCACACCTAAGGCCAATTTTCCCAGAAGCTATTTAACTTGCCACCATGTTTTTGGACTGTGGAGGGAAACTGGAGCACCTAGAGGAAACCCACATGTAAGTACAGGAGGCCATTGGTTGACACAAGTTGATAGCAGGTTCTGATGAAAATGGGGAGAACATACATTTAGCATCCGATGGTTAGAATTCAACCCAAGGTCCCAGTATTGTGAGGCAGCAATGCTAACCACTGCACCACTGTGCCACTCCTTAATGATTTAACAGAGTTTCATTTAGCCTGACCTGACAGGTGAGTTAACATTTATAGATAATGCTCATTGTATCAAAAAAAGGTAGGTTAATTCCCTATGTTAATTCTCTATGTGCTGGGAAGCACAAATATTTATCTAACCTCCATATTGCAACAATATTGATATTTATGATTAACTGCAGGTGATTATTGATTAGCTCTTAATGTGCTTTTAATTATTTAATTTTTAATTTTTAATTACTTCCATTAGATTACAAAATTGTGTTTGTTTTTGATCTGACAAAGGCACATGTACTCTGGAATTATTAGATCTCTGATTGGGCTTATTATGGTCTTGGTCCCTTGGATTTTAAATTAAATAATAGTCATTTTAATTGGTAATGTGTGCCATAAAACCTTTTTTAAATGCAGAAATAAATGAACATATATTTACTCCCATTTGGCAGAACTTTTTGTGACTTTTGTGTGAGATGGAGATATATTTGTAGTACAAAATTCAAAACCTGAATGAAAGCAATTTACTTTGTGTTTTACTACTTAGTAAAAATTATCGTTTTTAAGCACATCTGTTTAAATAAATGTTTTACCCATGTATGCAAATTGTTACATCAAAGTGGCCTTGAAATGCTTGCCCTTGCATGACCTCCAGAAACACTGAACAGTATATAAACTGTTGGGAAAACCAGCTGTAGGGAACCAGGATTTGCAGACCTTGCTCATTTCTGAATCAGTTATGAAAAAAATTATTCTCTTTGTTTTAACTCTTGTTGTCAGTGCACAGGGTGAGTTTAGTCATCTTTATAACATTTTTTTTGTTCTACAACTGCTTAACTATTTTGCTTTTCTATCAGATTGAGAGAGGACTGCATTAATAACCTAGCAAAATGTACAGTGAATTTGAAGTCTGGTAAATGTATGTGTCTTGCAAAAATATTCAGATCGTTCCTATGGAACTCCATTTAGTGAAATTACAAAATGATGCATAAACATTATGAAACCTAATATTTTAGTCAAAAGCTGAGTGCTCAAACTGAATAGCTCTAAGGGTAAGATAAGTAACAGTAAATACCAAAAATCTAAAGAAAGATTGAATATGTTGATTATTTAAGCATTATAACCTTTGAACTCAAAATTTGGTGGAAGCAATTACAGCCTCTACAAGTTTTGCATGCTGAAGTGGAGCAATTTATGCCCATTCTTCTTGGGAGCTGTACTTCAGCTCTATCAAATTGCCTGGAGATTGCTTGAGGACAATCATTTTAAATTCTTCCCACAGTTGCTTGATCATGTTCAAGTCAGGACCTTGATTTGCCACTCAAGAACATTCACTTTAATATTATTGAGCTACTCCAGTGTAGTGCTAAAGACTTAAAACTGGGCTAAAACGTCAGCTTTCAGGAGGACGTGGATCACTGTTTTGTTTTTTTTCAGAACCACGGTGGGAAAATGAGTATGACCAACCTTTGCATTTTACTTGTCCATCATACGAGTCTATTTATTACATAAGCAGGTGAGATGTTGATGTTGCTATGATCTTTATTATAACCTAGGCTATCCGCAGCCTGTCATTTTGTATATCAACAAATAAAACATCTGAATGCCATTATATATATATAGATCCATATTTGAATTTGTTTTCTGCCAAATCAATGTATACTATATGGCAAAGGTGTTGATAAAAACAAGCAAAGTATCCCTCTTGAAATTCTTTCTTGAAGACACACTGGATACTATCCAGTGGTTCAGTTAAATCTGAGGACAGGATGAACTTCTTTACCCAAAGGATTGGGGATGTATTGAACAAGCTACTCTGTGCTACAGAGGAAACCAATACACAATTTAGCTTCAACCAAACCAGGCTAGCTGCGATGGATGGCCTCCTCTTGTTTCTAACTTGTCTTATGTTCTTATTCTTAAGAAAATGTTTTCACCATATCCTTGTCCCTTATACATATAAATCCATGTATTATATTTTAGAAAAGGAAACAGAATTCCAAGAATAATTCTATTGAGGAATTCAGGTTCTATTTTCAGAATTTTTGGTTCTCTTTTAAATCTTTGTTTCACAGTTTTTTTTCTTTGAAAGAAAATGCAAGCAGTACTGGTTAGCATGTTATAACCAGGTGGGATAGAGGCCAAAATTACAATTCAGGAATAATGAATGACTAGGCATGTGTTGTGCTGAGATACTGTCCCCGACAGGTTATAGAGTATGATGCTTCAGGTCAGGTGGGGTGTGTCCAACACATTGCTCATTGTGTTGTTGCAGAGAATAGCCATACCTTTCCTTATGTTATCCTTATATTTGGAAAGTAAGGTTTCTTGGAAATTTGTGTATTTTCTTTGCATTTTAGAATTACTGCTTAAACTTTGGGGGCATTTTAAAACATTTACAATAACAGAAACAACCAAATTTGTTTCTCGGATCATACTACGTTAATATTACAGTATATATAATGTATATTCTCTTGCACCTTTAAAGCTTCACAAGAAAGCCAAAAAATAGTGAATGAGTGAAAAGCTTTGACTTTTATTTTTTATCCTTTCTAGTACTCATCATAATAAATATGAGGATCGTTTATGGAGTTTCAGCTGCAAACGCACCTTTGAAAACATTCCATTATGCTCTTGGTCAGGCTATGTGAATGATTTTGATCAGCAATTTGAATTTACCTGTCCACCAAATTCAGCCATTTCTGGCATGTACAGTTATCATGACAACAAACGTGAGGATCGAAGGTAATTTTATTTTTTTTATTATGTTAAGAGAAATATTGCTTTTAAAAGAAAATCTAAACATTTCACTGAAATAAATCCCATCAGCAGGGTAATCAGCAGTGTTTGGCTCAGTATTATCTTCCATGCGTACCTAATAAGTGTGAATAAGGCAACTGATCATAGTGTTTCAGATGAAAATGCAAAGGTATCTGTCTCAAAGCTTAATCAATGAAAGAGTAAAGGGTTCCTTTATTGTAAAATATTTGATTTTCCTTTCCTAAATACTCTGGCCACTCATTTAATAATGAATTACTGGTTTATTTTACATGTTATTTTTGCTACTGTATATAGTCAAGCAATTTGTATTTGGGATTTTTAAATTAATATGAATAAATCTAATATACTGTATATGGCTGTACAATCATTTATCCTTAAGCAGATCCACGACTCTCTTTTGTTAGTCAAGTCCCGTCCTGTGTTCCCATTAGTTGTTTCCCTGTTCTTTGCCAAGAACTTAATTATCACTGTTCTCATAATATAATGCTTAATTGATTTATCAATGTAACCATTACTGCATTTTTAAATAAACATATTTCCGTTTTGATGGCCTGAACTTTAATGTTTTGTTCATTTTAGGTGGAAGTTCTACTGTTGCAGTGATAGTAAGATCTGCTATTCTAACTGCAAGTGGACTGACTATGTCAATGGCTTTGATGAGCCTATGTCTTGGACTGTCCCGAGTTCTTACTACCTTGTCGGTGCTTCCAGCTACCATGACAACCACCGCGAGTAAGTTCATTTTTTCATTTCATTTCAAAAGCAAATTGTAAAACTAAAAGCAGATTGTTGCATTCTCATTGTTTTCTAATTCCAGATAGTTCAGGAGGCACAATGAAATTTCAGCAATATTACCAAAATATAATTAGTAGTCTCTTTATGCCATTATCAGGTAAATGTGTATGAGGGGGTGCTGGGGGTGCCAATGAGACCTGTTGAGGAATTCAAGAGGGTAAAGAATGAGTGCAGCTGCACCAGTAACTCTGCAACAATGGACAAAGTCCAGTAAAGAAGTAGCTAGTCCATAAAACAAATTTTTGGTTTATTCTTAAAAATAGCTTAAAGAAGAAATGAAAGTATGAATGAGTAAAATACATTTAATATTAAATATTTTTAAATTACATATACTTTACTGGGACTGCATCATGGTTTGACATTGTTTGAATTAAAGAATGTGCATAACACAATACTTATTTTGCATTATGCATTAAAAACAATTACTGTGTAGTAATGTACACTAAAATGAAAAAAAATATGTAAGAAATCTCAGTAAAATGTAAAAATAATATAACAATAATACATGTAATGTAACAGAAATAATATGTTTGTACAACATACATTTAAACACGTCTAAAAAGCATGAATATCAGTGGAGCCCTATAGAGGTAGAGCAATAGGTATAGTGGTAGGTAAATTGCTAACAATAGGTGTTGTTTATGTTTCATATGCTTTAGTGAATTTTATACCGCATATTTATGACACATGAAATAAAAAGCTGATACATTTATGATAAAAGGCACAGGAACAATTTGCATTGAATATGTTGATCACAGTTGTTGAAAAAATACGTCAAAAGATTCAGAAACATATCTGTCCATTTTCTACCTTCTTCATTTTATTCAAGGTGACTAGGGAGTCAGAGCCAAGTGACCTCAGCAAAAAACAGGCACCCGGCACAAGGCAGGGCACACCTTAATGAGTGTAAACACATAGACACAAACACAGAAAAGCAATTATTCCCACTAGGGCCAATTTTCCCAGATTGCAGTTTACCTACCAGTATGTTTTTGGACGTGGGAGGAAACTGGAGCTCCCAGAGAAAATCCACATGAACATAGGGAGAACATCACACAAAAACATCACGCAGATAGCATCCCAGGAATTGAACCCAGGGCCCCACTGCTGTGAGACAGCAATTCTAACCATCGCACCATTATGCAGACCTCGAGAAAGTATATATACATGGATGAGATTGTCCAGGTTGCTTTTTTTTTTTACCATAGTCTTGAATATTTTCTATTTGAAGACTATCTTTCTGACAGTGGTTGGTTGGAGCCAAAATGTTTAGAAATGGTGTGGTAACTCTTTCCACACTGCTGAGAATAAACTACTTTTTTTCTCTGAAATCTGAAGAATCTCAAATCTCTCTTGATCATGGCATGATCTTCCAAATTTAGTTTGGTCTCTCCTCAAAGTTTCTCATCATTATATAAGACAGTGCTACTCAAACTCAATCCTTATTTATCCTTTTTATTTTACCACCTGATTCTAACCACTTGATTGTGCTTGGTAAACTACAGTAAGCATTCCATTATTATTTCACAGATACTGATTCTTAATTATTAGTTACAACATTGCCACAAGTCTTTCTTCATGAATCTTTACCAACTGTGCATTTGCTCGGTGCAATTTCTGCTCACTTGGCAAATTTGCTGAAACTCTCTAATTGCTTGTGGATCCCTTTCTGAAAGCATGTGGAAAGAAGTCTTATCCATAGATTCCCATTAGGGTTATATAATGTAATAATATATAACACTATATATATTGTATACAGTATATAACATATATGGCATAATGCTGTCACCACCATGTTTCACAGAAGGAATGGTGATGACAGAATAATGCATTATGCTGAGTTTACATCAGATGTAACACTTTTTATATAAACCAAATTCTTGCAATTTTGTCTACTTTGACAACAAAACCTTTTGCCACATGTTTGCAGTGTCATTTTGGTGCTTTTTTGCTCAGTTCCATAGAAGCTTTCTTTGTGGAATGATAAGGATATGGTTGTCCCATGGATATTTTCTCCCATTTTAGACACTGAACTGTGAAACTCTGTTGACTTCTTGGTGATATCTCTAATTAGTTTCCTCCTTGCCCTGCTGTTCAGTTTGGAAGGACAGCCTAATCTAGGAAGTGTCTTGGTGTGTTCCACTTCTTAATGATCAACTTCACCATGCTCAAAGAGTTATTTAAGACATCTGAAATGTTTTTATACCTACTCCTTATCTGTACACTTATACATCTTTATCCTAATGTTATAACTGTATATTTGAGGGACGAGTGGAAGTTGGTGAAGTGATGCAAGAAAAGCTCTAGTTGGTCATTAGAGCATGTGGCAGCACCGATCAATGTATCACTTGTAGAAGTCCGGGAAAAAGCCAGTGTTGGAAGCATTCTTCTACCCAGCTGACAAAAATATTAGCATAGCTGGGTCCCATCCTGGTGCCCATAGCAGCTCCACTAACCTGCTGCTAAAAAAGGTCATTGAATGAGAAGGCAATTCCACAAAATGTAAAAGAATGTGGGTGGGTGGATCAAGCACTGTGCGTTTGCCTAGTGTGTGCATGAAGGTAAACCATCATTGTTGGGAATGACATGTATAGGGATGTGATGTTTATGTCACGGAACCTATACGTGGAATAGAAGGATCCTTATGCGTGACGGGAATCCCACAGGACGCAGAGTAGCAAAGGGACAATCCAAAAGACAAAATCCAAAGGCTGGGTCGATAAGGGAGGCAGAGGGTCCGGTAATGAGAGATATCCAAAAAACAATCCAAAGTCAAAATCCAGAAGGTGAGGTCAAAAGGCAGAAGCAGAAGATTCGTAACGGGAGATCAGTCAAAAGGTTTGGAAACATGCACTGGAGAATACTATGAAAGGCTTCTCAGTAGTGAGCGTGGGAAGGTGTGCAAAGGGGGTTTAAATACTGAAAGGAAAGGGGTGTGATTGGATGATTGGTTAGGGAGTGAGAATTTGAGGAATCTGATGCATGTGAGAATGTGATGGGTTCAATCAGGGATGAGATTGTGAAGCAGAGGTTCCGGGAATGTAATGTCGTTTGCGAGGGAGAGTGTGGAATGTGACAGGGACAGAAAGGCATTTCTTAGTTAGAGTGTGGGCCGTGACAGTTTATGGTCAAAATGAAACATTCTGGGTCCTTAAACTGGAAATCATTGAAAAGTTGGAGAGCATGGTTGGTGTCCTTAAAATATTAAAGAAACCTTCAACCAGAGGTCTCATAAAGCTGTAGAGAAAGGCTGAGATGTGAGTTGTGGGACAGGTGCATGCAGAGATGATAGGGCATCCAGGGGTGTTGGGTTCGTGGATTTTGGGGGGAGGTAAAATTGATATACCTGAGGATGTTCAATGATGAGACGGTTTGCCTCCTTGGGGAGTTCCTTATTGCTGTTCAGAAATAAAATGGTGGATAACACTTCCTTTTGGTAGTGAGTGGTAGGATCCAGTGGAAGAGGCAGAAGTATTGGTAAGTCGTCTGGAGGCTTCATTGATATACAGGTCTTTTTGTGACACCTTTATCCACTGGTTTGATAACAATGATTCTCTCTATTGCAGAGAGATTAAAGCACCTGAATTTCTCCTTGGGTGAGGTTAGACCTGTGTTTCCTAGGTATGGAAATGGTCTTGGGAGCTTGACTGTTACATTGATTCATTAAATACTGACAGAAAACGGCCGGAGGGGGGACTTGATTTTGTTAATGGAATTGATAACTGGGGTGTTATCAGGTGCCAGTGAAAAGAAGTCATCAGCTAAATGTGCTCTGAGCAGTTGAGGACAACTTGGGCTTAGGGGATGTCCAGCTTCTTGGGAGCTGGTACAAAACTGAGGCCTTTGCTGAGAAGAGATCGCTCATCCTGTGAAAGGGAAAGGTCTGAGGGTATAGTAACAGCAATATTAGGATTAGTGGAGGTAGTGGTTGTGTTGACTTTTTTTTCTGTAAAAGATGATTGAGTTTTTTATCTTTATCTCCAGTGAGGAATTGGTTAAGCTTGGAGATGAGGGATCTGATGAGGTTAGTGTCACGACCGCCAGCCAGCGGAGATTAACTCATAAGAGAACTAACCAGTACCAGCAGCGGGTAAATAATAACAAGCGCCACCACACGTGTTAATCCATCAGCACACGCTCTACCATGCGGCACGCAGCGCTATTTGTACCATCCAAACCCGCTTCCCGCTGCTCAGTATTGAGTCTTCTCGTAGAGAGCTCTACCTCGCAGTTATTTCAACCTCGCTTACTATACTACTCCTGGATTCTGAACTACCCTTTTGCCTCTCGACCTTGAACCTTGCCTTATGAATTGGATTGTTCGCCTCTCTTAGTATTTCCTGGATTTTGAACTACCTTTTGCCTTTTGACCACGATCTCACCTGACGTCTCGGATTGTATGCCTGTCTTGATATCTACCTGTTCCTGCGTCTGCATAGGATCTGCAAACCTCTTCATTGGGGATTCCTTACAGTTAGTTATAAAGGAAAGATGATGTGGAGCTATTAGCCACAAAACTTCTTTGTTGTTGTCAGAAAGAGTAATCTGTAGTTTGAGGGGCAAAATGGTAGAAAACATTAGTTTCCTCAAAAACTGTTGAAGAAGTTTCTGAGTGTTAAATTTCAAATTAAATCCTTTAGGAATGATGTCATAGTGACGACATCTGTATAGGAATAGGAATAGGAAGTGGTTAGAAAGCCTGGTCTTGGAACAGATCTCTGTGAAGAGACAGAATGCCAGTTTGGTGAGAGAAGGGGGCAAGTAGCACAGAGAAGAGGAGACGGCATCTACAAAAAGATTTATCAGAAGGCATAGTGGGTGACAGCAGCAGTGGGTTGAAGACGTCCAAGTAGGTAGCCGCATCAGCATGCATAGGCTGCAAACGTGTGAAGAAGTCTGAAGAAGGCCCCACAGCCAAAAAGCTGTGTTTCTTATCTTCTCTTTTCAGAATGGAATAAACCTTTACTTGTTCCTGTGCAGACTACACATTCTGATGCAGCTACCTACTTGGACTTCTATTACCTGTAATACTGTACTAGTGTCTATGACACTAAAATATGTCAGTTCTACTGGAGATCCTTCTATAAATTCATGTTGTTGACATTTTTTTAACATAGGAAAGTTTATGGAAATTAAAGAATACATTATTTAAAAAAATATTTTTTAGAATTTTGTTATTTTCTTTCTATTAAAAACACATTAGACTTTTTTGTTTCCAAATTGAATTCCAGTTTAAACAAACAAATCATATTCAACATTCAGATAGGGAAATACTGCAGGAGAACAGCGCAGCACAAGCTGCCTGTATTAGCCTGTGCTAACAATTTCTTGTTTTCTCTATGTTAAGAGACCGTCGCTGGAAATATCAGATCTGCATGAGACACTCTTGCTAATTCCTCAGAGATTGACAAGAGGGACAAAGGACAGCAACTAAAAGCTTTCAGTATAATAAACTGCTTAATCTGTAAACCACATTCAAAATGTACTATTAAAACAATTATCTGCTTTTGCCTTGTCTGTTTTAGTTTCTTGTTAATCACTTTGTACAAATGATTATGCACAAAAGAGTTTACATTTACATGGGAAAAAAAATTAATAGAATTAATGAATGACTGATATATCATTATCATTATTTAGTAGATCATGGTCAGCTAAATAATCCATCCATCAATTTTCTAAAGACTTCCAATTCACGACTGCAGGGTAGATGAAGCCCTTCCTGACAAGCAACTGGTGCAAGGCAGGGTATTCCCTGGACAGGATGCCAGTCCATTACAGAGCAGACTGACACGCACACTCA